CAAGCTTACAAACCCCAAGCCCACCAACTTCAAACCCACAAACCGTATGGGTATGAAGTTGAATTGCAATCGACTGCTTGATGTCTAAGAGATCCTTAGTAGATTTTCGCATATTAAGAACTGATAAACTTAGAAATTTCAACAAGTGATATCTCAACGAAAAAAAAAAGATATTTGAGCAAACTCAACGGCATTCGAAAGAGGGAGCCTTGTACTTTTAAATTATATGTATTTAAAAAAAAAGAATAGATGGCATTACTACATAACCTCAAATATGACGAAAACAGCGTTTTTTGCACTTTTAGGTTAGGATATCTCAAAAACCTGACGTGATAGAGCAATTCTGCGGCCAGATTCGGATTCAGCGCACCAAAATTCTGCGGGAATGCATATTAGTGTGTCTGCTTCTTTACCCTTGTTGGCCTGTGTTATTGAAGGAATTTTAAAACCCATCACACACATAGACCACCAAAGTACGAATAATGTACTCCTATTCAATACGAATTATTAACTCAAGGTCACAATTCGTTATTATTTGCAAAAAAGTGTAAGTAATGTCCTTATTGATTTCTATGATACTGTGGTTTTGCATTAAAATGTTAAGTTTCGTTGTGCACATAAACTGTACTTTTGTTAAAAAAAGTGTCCGGAAACGAATCGTAGATAGTTTCCTTGGTTGAAAATAACCTGGTTTAGGTCAAGTTACCTTAATACGAAGCTTTCGGCCTAAGTTATTGTAAAAGAAATAAAATTATTGAGTGGTAAATCCAAGAAAGCATTCGCAAAAGTCGCAAAAGATCTATCTATTAGCATAACTGCCGTCTGCTTAAATATATTAGTTACAAAGTCAATGATAATGAATTTAATTTATTTGTTAATAAACGGCTAGTTTTAAAACAAAAAAGTGAGAGAGGCAAAAGTTAAGTTAAAATAAAACAATCCCGTGTCAACGGAAAAATGGCGACAATGGCTGAAGTTTACGTTCTATATACATATGTATTGCTTTTTTACTTACCTAAAGAAGAAACATTTTCAGCTCTCTGCAACAACTTGTTCACTTCTATTTATACAATGTTCTACACTACACTTCCCCACGATAAAATAAATAATTATTGAAACAACACAATCACAAACACTGTACTTTGCCAGACACGACTGATTGCCCCAAATCCAAGATTCCCTTTCCACCACCCGTCCCATGGAGGCCGGTGTCCCCCAGGGCACCGTCCTTTCCCCACACCTATATACCATTTACAACTCCGACATCCCACATCCCCCCAACACCAACATATACTTATACGCCGACGACCTGACAATCACATCCCAATCCGTAGATCCTAGATATTCCGTCTCCCTCCTCCAAAACTCCTTAGACCAACTTGAAACCTGGTGCAACAGGTGGAAAGTCAAAATTAATCCCAACAAAAGTTCGGCTATCCTTTTTACCAAACGAAAAATCCCACAAAATCTCGACAGACTGACACTATCCCAGGAACCCATCTCCTGGAATCGACAAACACGATACCTGGGCGTGACGATGGACCAGCGTCTCACGTGGAAACCGCACATCGTGGAGACGGTGGCGCGAGCGAAGACCACCAGGGCTAGGCTCTATCCCTTACTCAAAGGTGGAAACACCCTCAGTTTAAGGAATAAGCGAACGCTTATCAAGGTGGTACTTCAACCGCAGCTAACCTACGCCTCCACGGCGTGGGGTCACGCGGCAAAAAGCCACTTAAAGTCATTACAGGCTGTGGAAAACATAGCCCTCCGTACGGCCACCGACGCGCCCTGGTACGTAAGAAACAATGACATACTACGAGACTTACAATACACAAACGCTACACAGACAATAAGACAAAACGCGGAGAAACGATTTGACGTAGCCGCTAGAGACATGACAATCCCCTCCTCAGGCAAGCCGTTGACTACGTACCCGACCTGACCGACAAACACAAAAGACCTAGACACCAACTTTTTGACCCTGGGTGACCACCCCAACGACATCCCCTCCCCCCCTGCCCGCTAACCTTTTCTGTTTCAGAGACCGCCAGGATCAAGAAACGAAGACAACGACACACACACACACACATACACACTCCCCATACCCTCCTTACCCCTCCCCTCCCGCGCTAGCCTTTGGGCCACATTAGCAAAGCGCATCCCAGGCTGCATAGCCGCACTCCCTACCCAACCATACCACACATAAACATGACACTACCCCCGGGGTTTACACAGACGAGCCGGCGAAGCAAGAAGGCGCCAGAAGAAAGGGCCCTAGCCGGCGGGGCCCAGCCAGGACAAAAGGAGATCCCACAAAGCGCCTAAACCGGCCGCATTTGCGGTCGGGGTAGACGACGGATGGGGCCCACCTACGAAGGCTGTCCAGGCCTACACGAGATGAGGCAGGATAAAGAGGGATAATCCCCCTCGATCCCAAATCATTGAGGCCAATTTCTAGCCATGGAATAATGGCGCGACTGATTGCCGGGCTTCTACCAAGCTACCAACTGCATTACCGTACAGTGTTGCCAGCTTTACCAAGTAGCCAATACAGTTTTTTAAATTGTCTTTAAAAAATATAGTGTTTCGCATAAGAACTGATCGGCAGAGGATGGATCCATCCTCTGCCAATATAAAAAATTTGAAAATTTAAATGTACTAATTTTGTCACCAAACATTTATCTTTTTTCGCTTATGAAAGCAAAAGTATTGTTTGTGCTATGTGACCGCGGTTACAATTTTTTAGTCAAAAAGTCGCATAGAAGGAATGAAAAATAACCATAATGTGTCGCCAGTCGCAAATGGTTGTTTTTCTCACTTTGTTTAATATTCAAATTAAATCTAGCAACTCTGTTACTGTAATCGCCCTATTTGGTCTGTGATAAAAATAAAATACTGCTACTACCAGAGCCATCTATTGTTTTCCTGGAGTGGAACTGTGTGTTTAAGTTCAAGAAAGGGCTAATAGATGGCACTCGAATTGGAACGCAATTAGGCGGTACACATAAAATTAGTAATAAAGAATTTGTACTGCAGCCGTTATTTACTGGAGATCTCAATCAATATTCAAAATAGTTGAGATTAGCTAAGATCTCAGGTAAATAAAATACAGCTTATAACACAGTGTTGGTCCAAAATAACCAAGGCACAAACTTTTATAGTGTTTGTATAGTGTAATACTGCAAGTAGGCCATGATTAATTTGATGAAAAGCCTAAAAACTAAATTTACATTAATAAATCTGCAGCTGAAAAAAATCAGGTAATGTGACCAGCTAACACTGCAGATTTTGTGCATTTTCTTATTTAATTAAAGGCGACAGCAATGTCTCATTTCAATTCTTATTTTCATGAAGACGATGCGGTATACTTTTAAACACCCTGTATATGAATCCTAATTTAGAAAAATCTTTGTATGTTACTGATCGAACATGAATTTTATTGCAATGGAATTGTACCTGTTAATAAAAATGTATATAAAACTACAGTAATGCTATAAAAAAATTTATTAAGGTCACAATCAAAAAACGTTACATATAAACTAGGAAGTTCTACTTTTATTTGAGGGAAACACTAACGTTCATGAAAAATATCAGAAACTGCTGAAAAATACCACCGTTTCAGGAATTCTGTACAAAAAAAAAGTAAACAATACCATGAAATCAAAAATATTCACCAAAGCATTCTGTTGAATAATCCTCAGTTTAAAACGTACCGATTATATAAGTTGAAGGCATATCCATTACTAATGTTTTTTTTTTAATGTTGTTATTTAAGAAAACTTAGATCATCCTGAAATACATTTTTCTAAACAAATATCGTTCATTACATGCTTTATTAATTAAAAATTGTTCCCTATTCCTCATTCTCTTTACATTACTAAACCTTAAGGTGAAAAAAATAAAAAAACATAAATCTTTTGCGTTTTACTACCAATACATTTTTATCAGTAGCGACCGCTGCGACCGGATCGATGTTTGGGCGATCGTGACCCCTTCCTGTCCCTGGAACGAGACCGTCCCCTTTTAGGAGACCGAGATCGTGTACGTGCCCTTCCACCGCCAATATGATTCCCACTGCGGCCCCCTTTCCTACGCGAGTACAAATACCTACAAAGAAATTTCACTTAATATCGAAGAAACGTCAAATATTTCATATTCACCTTCTCAGTTCCCTGGAAATAGGTTTGAGGTGCATGAAGTTGCAAAAACCTGAACGAGTACACTCCCCCATCTCATACTGCCTGCAACAGGCCTCCCTGAAGTCAGTCACCGGACTTAATTCTGCGTATACCGGCCGTCCACCGAACCAACGGTTATTCAAGTCATTTACAGCACGTTCTGCATCTTCTTCTCTACGAAACTGAAGGAAAAACATGGCTTTTCAATGTTTTACTTTATTATAACAAACTTACCTTTATATACACATTGCCGACTAGGTGATCTCCCAAATTGTCGCACACATTCATTTCTTCGATTTCACCATATTTATCTTCACACTCGACGAACACGTCTTCGAAAAAGTTATCGTAATGCTCCTGCATTTCTTCGTCCGATACATTTGCTACCACTATATATAAAAATAAAAGAGGTATTAACAAAAGTTTACTTTTGCATTAAATTGTGTACTTACAATGACTGCCATCGGCTGATTTTGCTGAATTCTGTGGGTTTACATACAAATTTTGTAATAAACATGTTTGAGAAAACGTCGGTTTGTTGTGTATTCTGGAACAACGATCACCGTGTCTGCAAGCCCCTATCTTGAAATAAAAGGAGCAATTTACCCTGGAAAATAATAAGTTCTAAAGATCAAAACATTAAATAAAAAGAAACTGCTCACTTGTCCTTTTCTGTACCAAAAATTGAAGCCAAATATTCGGCCATTTCCGAAAAAAAATAAGCCGAAACGCCAAACACAAAATGCCGTTTTTGACCATTGACAGAAAAGGTCGATAAAGTAGATATCTATATGCAGCTGCGTTCGAAAATAGAAGCACAGAATAACTGTCAGAATTATAACTCGTCTTTAATGTATGTACATAATATGTATATCATATATCCTTATTTCTTTTTGTAAATTTAATAATGTCTGATTCACAGATAATTTTTGTTTATTTAAAAACTTCTTTAAGTTTAAATGGATACGTGAAAATCAATACAGTAATTGTATTTGTTTTACACACTTGGTCACTTTGGTTAATTCATATTCAGTAGAGTTTTGACCAAGTTCGTTTTTTTTTAAAAAGTGAAGATACCAAAATATGACCAAAATCAGCTCTCTTGTTCTATGCTGTGCCACAGAATTAGAATCTTTACTATTGTTCTATGATTGGAAAGTCAGGTTAAATATATTTTAGTTTGTAGAAACTGTCAAGCAAACAAAACTTTTAAAAGGTTGTTTTGTATTCATATATGTGAAATGACTAATATTGCTTCTTATACCCACCTTTTAAAAATTTCAAATAATTCTTCTTTGTATGAAGTAGGTTTATGGTTTAAACATGTAAAACATGTAAGTTTAAATAGACTTCTTTTTTAGTTTTTACATGGATGTGTCGATGATCTATTACAAAAACAAAGCCCTAACTTCGAGAACTACAAAAATAGAGACATCGAATGGACCGAAGAAGACTTCGACAGAACCCGAGCCTATATACAAAACTTGTATCGCCAAAGTGTTATAGACGATACTTTGGATTTACCTAAAGACTTAACCACCGATCTACAAGAAGCAATTACACGTTGTTACACAATTAGGAAAAACGATATTTTCCAAGCATTAGCGAAAGAATTTATTTTGCAGGACGGTCATAATTTAGTGAATAATATCGACTGGAGATTGAAATGGGTTCTAGGAACTTCAGATTTGGCCGCGCTACAAGAACCTCGGCTTCAAGTTGACTTACACTGTAGCAATAAAATCGGAGATAAAGTGAATAGAAACGTTTTGAATTTCGAGGCAAATTTGGAACAAATCGATGGTTTAATTAGTGATTTAAGTAAATTACAAAGAGAGTTTCAGTAAGGTTTTTATAATTATAATTGTTGATTTATTCGTTAATTGTAAATTTTTATTAAATGCAATGGTTCACAGCAAACGTAAAAGTAATGTAAGTTATAATAAAGTTTTGTACAAAGTCTGTAGCATTTTAATCGAAGTTATCGTATCTTAGAAAATAGTTATTTTCATTCTGTAGTTAAGGTGATGCTGCCGATTCTACGTTCCAACTGAATTAGTGAAAGCTTAAGAAAAATATTAATGTTTTAAATAAACCATCTGTAACCTAACCTTTTGAATTGTGTTAACCAGTATCCTGAAGTTTTAAAGAAATAAAACTTTTAGTTCTGGAAATATTGAAGAGTAATACCTAGTTTGGACATTTTTGCTATAACGAGAGTTGAAATTTAGAGATAAAATAGATGTTTTTTGGACCATGTTTTTTGTATGAATGAATGAAATACCTGTTATTGGAAAAAATTGTTGAAGTTATATTTTCGATACTATGAACAGTGAAACCAAAATATTTTTGCATAAAGTAAAACCTGCACTACGAATAATTGTGCTATAAAGAAATAATTATTTTATTAAAAAATGAACAAAATGCAACATAATGATAATTACTTTGAAGTCTCTGGAAAGCAAGACGTTATATACTGAATACATTTGTGAGCCAACGAAGTTCCTAATTGGAGCGTTTGTTCAAGTAATCTATATATCACTTATTAGGAGGGCTGGAGGCAATCACATTTTTTACATTTTATTATAGTTTATCTAAATATGAATGCACAAATAACAGACTTTCCCATTTTAACGCAAATTTTCTAAACATGGAATTAGTTTGAAACTCAAATTACTTTTTGATGTAAAGAAATTTGTAACTTACGATGCCGCTTGTTCAAAACCAGCCTCTCTTTTTACTTTATTTGTATACTCTACGTGTTTTAGATTGTATAAAATAGGTTAATTTTGATACAACTCTATTAAAGCCATAACAGCCTCCTTCCCCCTAATAAATCTTCCATTTGCTGCAGATTTACAGGTTTCACTCATTTTTATTGCTTTTTCCTTTACCACGTTTAATAGTCACTCGAAAGCCACGAAATTTAAATTTTTACTCTACAACTATCGCCCTATAAATAAATAACCATAACCCTAGATTTAGATTATAAACACATAAACATAAAAATTATGGTGTCGCAAGTAACGCCAACAAAACAAAAAAATTCCTTGTACTTGTCAAAAGCGCGTTACCAACTCACAAATCTAGTGAATTTTCCCGAAGAACCCACAACCTTGGAGCATATACTACTGGGTGTAGCATGCTATTGCGAAAAATGTGGCTGAGTGTGCGAGAGAGATATATCTGATGATGTCTCATTCTTCTCTTCAACCATAGTATACTATGCTTCAACGACACGAGCCCTGTGGGGAGCCAATCAGCGCGAGCATTCATTTCCAACCAATCGGTGCGTGCTAGAGTGAGACAGTATGTACTGAGAAAGTGTCTATTTCTCTTGCACACCGTTCGCAATGGTATGCTACCTCCAGTAGTGTATGTTCAAAGCCCACAACGGAAAAATAGGACATGTTCTAATTTCAAGGGTGAACACCCAGGGTTTTTTTACAAAACTCATAACACACAAGTGTGTACTGAAAAGTCCTGGGGTTTTGATGCAGGGTTAAAACCCATAAGTGGGAATCGGCCTTAAGAGGGCTCTATAGCAAATAGGCAACCACCAATACATTTTTATAGATTATATTATACAGTTTCTCTAAATATAAATCAATGCACAAATAACAGACTTTCCCCCATTCTAAAGCAGATTTTCTATCAAATGGATTTAGTTTGAAACTCAAGTAACTTTTTCGTGTAAAGAAATTTGTAATTTGCCTGTACAAAAGCGGCAAATTACAAATTCCTTTACAACAAAAAGTAATTGGAGTTTTAAACGAAGTCCATTTTATAGAAAATGTGCGTTAGAATGGAGGAAAGTCTGTTATTTGTGCATTAATTCATATTTAGACAAACGGTGTAATAAAATCTATAGAAATGTATTGCTGGTTGCCTATTTGATACAGAGCCCTCATCTTAAAAAGTGATATCACTATAAATTTTTGATTAATTTTAAAGGTTTCAAGAAGTTTTGATTTTTTTTATTAATGTTTTAAATATTACATTTTGACTAAGTATGGGAAACGAAACATTTCCACGTTTAATCCGTTTAATTTATGCAAACTTATTTCATATTTTGAGAAATTCTGTCGCCAAATTTAGTTTGCTTTATGCAATCCGGACACTGTAAATGTAATAAAAATGGAAATAAACATGTAAACAGGATAGTTTAGTGACATCGAGTCGTAAAACCTGGTAAATAAGAAGTGATTGCGACAGATTTAAAAAAATCCAGGAAAATTTGAGAAAATCTCATATTTCCAGACGTATCCAGACCTATGAAATCCCTCAGTAATTCCAGGTTTCCCAGACTTATACGTGTTTTAAACAGTCAAAGCTTGCCTCCGCCAATATTTACGAAGGGCGTTACCCACGTTCAAGCTAGGACCGATTTTTTGTATTTCACGTCGAAAGTGGGAGTGTCGCTACATTTCGAAGCGAGTAAAAGCGACGTTCAAAATTTTTATTTTCGTAAATCCAACACCGTTACAACTTACCACTTACTTTTGCCATCGTTCTCGACGACCCAGAAGGAAAGGACACGGGCAGGTTCGAAATAAAAAAAATCGCAAGTAGGAGACACCCTAATTATATATTTATATTATAAACACATTCACACGTACATGGAAATTTCATTTACCTACACACAGCCGTTTTGATAAGTCGGCGGATAATAATGTATAGCGAAATATCAAAGAGCTGTGGACGGAGAATATAGTTTCAAGTTGGCACAATCAAAACTAAATTCCTTTCTTAAAACTATACTAACGCGTTAAAATTTCGAGACGCCAAACAGGGTTTAAAATTAATTTCGTTGTGTCAATGTACAATTTTCTCATCAATTTTGGAACCAACTATACACCCAGATCGTCCTCGCAGTCGTTTGGTACCGGGCGGGTCGAAACGTCGAACCGAAGATGATGACCGTTTTTTTACGTTAGAGGAATCGTGGAGCCGCTCGGGAAATACCAAACGAGTGCGAGATAGCTGCCGCAAGCAGAAATTACACGAAGCACACTGTATACTAATAATGTAGTTAACGTTAGGACAGCCGACTTGCTATTCTACACATTTATAATTTAAAATTTTTTTTTTTATACAATCAGACAAATCGCGGTCGGGTCGCGCGGCGGCCCCGGTGCCCTTTCAAAGCACCCGTTAGATTTACAGGCGGGGAGCCGTCGCGCGCGCCCCGACGCCTCATTACCGCTAGATATGTATCTAATCTAATCAAAGCTAAAATAAAATAAAAATATATACTTACAGATGCGTTATTAATATTAATCGGAACAATTCTGGTTGCCCGTATCTTTAAACAAGGTGATGTGATACATAGGATTTTAAAACGAGGATTAATAAGCCCATCTAATAAAAAAATCGCTAAAAACAGTAAAAACTACGCTAACTTTTTTTATTTTACAATTGTATATGATAAAAAAGCCGCTGTTGGCGGACATATAAAAAATTGTCCCAAAATTTCCACTAAAGACAATATAAAATATTTTCAATAAGGAGTATTAAAACTTTCTCAACTTTTTTTTTTGCGCGGTAGACAATCATATATTTCTAGGTTCTAATTTAAATGGCAGTTTTGTTTTTCTTCTTTTGGTCAAAAACTACGGTCACTGCCGGGAATGATCCGTTAACGTTCCATTTTAACTTGTAATAAAAAGTTTATGTATAAAAGAACATTTTTAACTGCACAAGAAAATTTATTCCTCCACCTTTGCCGATTCCTGCAAGGGAAAATCACAACTTATTATTTCGTATCAATAACGACAGCAACTACAAAAAAAAATCAATCAAATCGAAAAACTATTCCTATACAGGGCGTTTCAGGATCAACGACACGTATCGTAACGGCAGAGTAGAGCCACTGTTGATTTTCTGTGTCACACTTTCTTCGAATTTTAAATGAAGAGGGCTCTCTATAGCAAATAGGCAACCAGTAATACATTTTTATAAATGTTAATATGCGGTCCGTCTAAATATGAATTAATGCACAAATAACAGACCTTCCTCCATTCTAACGCAGATTTTCTATAAAATGGAGTTAGTTTGAAACTCAAATTACTTTTTGGTGTAAAGAAATTCGTAATTTGCATTGTAATTTACAAATTTCTTTACACTAAAAAGTAATTTGATCTACAAACTAAGTCCATTTTATAGAAAATCTGCGTAAGAATGGAGGAAAGTCTGTTATTTGTGCATTGATTTATATTTAGACAAAATGTGCAATAAAATCTATAAAAATGTGTTGCTGGTTGCCTATTTGCTATAGAGCCCTATTAACAATAAAATTTTAATCAAGTTTTTAATACTAGTTTTAGAGGCAAAACAATTAAAGAAACTTTTCCAATGTGATAAATAACACGAGCCAACAAAATCAGGCCGACCCGTCAACCCAGAATGGACTTCTTTGGAGGATTTTGGTGGGCAGAATCGAATCCGAGGTCCAAAGAGTGACTGCAAAAACGCCATTTTTGCGCCTGTTTTTGAGACTGACAAAGGCGACAAGGAAAATCCTAAAGATATTCTAAAAATATCCAAATCCTCGTCATGAAAAATAAAACATCAATTTCAGTATTTCGAAAATTTTTGAAAATCACCCTTATTTAGGGGTTGAAAAGACAAAAAAAGTGAACAAATTAAGAATCGTCAACAGTTGTAAAACCCCAAATATTTCTGTTGTTATCAAAATAATATTATGAACGTGAAAATATCTAATTTTGTATTTGATACGATCTTGTCCGAATTGAAAATCAACCCATAATATCTCTAAAGGAGTGAAATCATCCCCTAAACGCCTAAAAATGCAAAAAATATATTAAAAGTTAAATTTTTTTTTCTTTTTCTTTTATACGTGATAATTGAACCGTTAATAACCCATAATCACTAGATCCAAAGGAAAATACCCCTAAATGAGGGTAAAACCACCCGTAAGTTCAACCATCGGCTTCAAAGTACATAAAATAATTATAATGCATAAAAAAATAATATTTCGAAATACATTCATTAGAATAATTTATACACAACTAGTACCATACATTATCAATTATTTTCAAAAATAATCATCCCTCTCAAGGGGTAAAATCAACCCCAAATATACAAAAATTGTAAATAATGTGAAAAAGTATTATTTTAATAACAACATAGAAATATTTGGGGCTTTACAACTGTTGATGATTCTTAATTTGTTCACTTTTTTGTCTTTTCAACACCTAAATAAGGGAGATTTTCGAAAATTTTAGAAAAACTGATGCTCATTTTCATTTTTCATGAGGACTTTTTGGATATTTTTAGAATATGTTTAGGTTTTTTCCTGTCACCTCTGTCAAAGTCTCAAAAACAAACGAATTTTGCGGTCACTTTCTCAATTGGCTCTGGTTTTCGAGATATCCTAACCTAAAAGTGCCAAAATCGCAATTTTTTACATATATGAAGTTATGTTACGCGGATAAGTAATTTTTTTGCTAAAATCATTAATTTTGCAATAAACTTTAAAAAAATATCTAAACATTCGATACATGACCGATATTTTATGCATTATATCAATTTGGAAATACATTTACATGCAAAAGAGGCTAATATGCTCAATCCCGAATTCTTAAACCCTAAACCCAAAAACCCTAAGCCCATAAACCCATAAGGTTTGTGTTGTTGTGTTGTGAGTATATTCAAAAATCGAGAAATAAGTCAAACTACTAAAATTTAACATGTGATTTCTCAAAGACAAAAAAGTTATCGGGATAAATCCAAGTGCGTTTTAAGGAATAAGTATAGTACTTTAAGACCCCATTAATAGTTTTAGCAAAAAAATTTACCTATCTATGTAACATAAACTCAAATATATAAAAAAAAATCGCGATTTTGACACTTTTAGGTTAGGATATCTCAAAAACCAGAGCCAATTAAGAAATTTGTAACTCAAATTCGAATCCAGCTCACCAAAATCCTTTAGGAAAGTATCTTCGTGTTGTTGGGTTAAAATCATGTCGGCCTATGTAATTAAAAAAGATGTAGGAAACAACTACTCTGTGGACTAGAGCCCCAATCAGCACAGAATTATGTACATTCACAATATCTAGTAAGCAATTAGGATCAATCGTCAGTAGTTTTGCATTCATAGCACCTACATATTAAAAGGTCACTCTCTGCCAGCAAATAAGGTATAATATACAGACTATAGGTTATATCTCGCCGACACTTGAAAAATGTTGCCATTTTGTTGGATCACAGAACAGAAGTACAAAATGTTAGTTGCAACAATTTTTTCATTCACCGAAATAACAGAGAAACCGATTAAAAAAAGTAGCATTAAAATTTTGTGATTGTTGATTGGGTCATCGGCCATTTCATAACTGGAATTAATTGGGTTCTGAGAATTAAAATTCATTTTCAATAATTCGGATTTAACCAACTAATTTTTCAGAAATATTTGGGGTTTTTTTTGTCATTACGTATATGGCATTTATCGCATGTGGACAGTTATTTTGACAACTAAAATACATTTTTGACATCGGAATCATCATCAGACCCCTCGAGAACTTATAAAACGGTGCCTTGATATTATTGAGCAGCATTTTCCACATATTGGCAGTTCTTTTGACAGTCGACATAAATTTTTGACATCATCGACCTCGGAAACATATAAAATACGGGTAACCTATTATTAACATCATATTTTCCCCATGCTGACAACATTTTTGACATTGCATTGCAATCAGCGTCCCCATAAACATACATACTGGCGTTGGGATGACATTTCCCACCTATCGAGTTATTTTGACAGATGACAGTTGTCAAAATACCTTTTGGACTCCCAAGATTGTAATCAGCAGCCTCCAAACATGAATGTAGTCTTTAGATTTTATCACCATGGCACAAAATTGCATAGAACGATTTGTTTTTTGGATAGAGTCAAGTTTTCTCATGTTTTTTTTGTTTATAATTAGTTGCAAATAAAGGAAAAAATTGTAAAATCTCATGAAAACGGTCTCATGAAAACCCAAACACTATTGAATGACAAAATTTACCCATGAGGTTCAAAATATAGAAAATAATAGTTAAGATGAAAAAAAAGTGGTACGTTGTGGAAATATTTGCTGTAACTGTTTTCCATCGATTAAAAAAAGTTACTGGAATTTAATTTAATAGTTTTAAAAAGTGCAATGTTCAAATGCATGACTTTTGTGACTGGTTGTCTTTAAGAGGGCTCTATAGCAAATAGGCAACAAGTAATACATTTTTATAGATTTTATTACACAGTTTGTTTAAATATGAATTAATGCTCAAAAAACAGACTTTCCTCTATTCTAACGCAGATTTTCTATAAAATCGAGTTAGTTTGAAACTCAAATTACTTTTTGGTGTAAAGAAATTTGTAATTTTCTAGTTCAAAAGCGCCAAATTACAAATTTCTCTCCAACAAAAAATAATGTAAGTTTCAAACTAACTTCATTTTATAGAAAACCTGAGTTAGAATGGGGGAAAGTCTGTTATTTGTGCATTAATTCATATTTAGACAAAATGTGCAATAAAATCTATAAAAATGTATTGCTGGTTACCTATTTGCACAAAAAGGTTATTCTGTACTCGTTTCGGTAACCTCGCTCTGCCACCACAGTACGTACATGAAACTCCCTGTACGTAAATTTTTTGTTGTTCTCGGGCTAAGCTCCGTGGAGGCAGACACGCTATCACAACCCCTAGACCCACTCTGATGCTCACATTTATTCTTGTTGTTGGTTTTAAGGTCACTACAGATGGAATTTGACAACGGTGGCCCCCCGAGACATTCCGTAGTGCCCTTCGTAACTGGCAACATAAAATAGTTCCAAACATTTCGCCGACATCTTCAGCAGTGACTCTGCAAATGCTAAGCTACGACCGAGAGCCGAAGCACCGGATGAGGCCAATTACAAAGACCACTGCGTAACATCTCAGATGACCACCATCGCCGCAGTCGAGGTACCGTCCGTAGCAGCCTTAGAGGCGACAAGAATCGAAGTCAACATCAGGGGACGGTGCTAGCGGGTCGGGCCCCCACAGAGTCCAGCCCGAGAACAAAAACCCGAAAAATACAGATTACAACAAAAAAAATTATACACGTAAACTTACTGCTGGCTCAACGCTTGCCTTGTCTCCAATTTCCTGTCGTATCTCGCTCTCAGTAGAAACCTCGCTGGCGACCTGAAAAAAAAGCTTTCGAATAAACCGAACCGACAGCGAGAGATCTTATCTGAGCAGGAGCCTTTCCGATTTATCGACTCGATCCTTCGTTCGCGAAGCATGAAGCGAACGGATCGCAAAGATAAAATCTCCGTTTTTACACAATCACTCAATTAGTAACAAAATTATCTAATCCGAAAGGTTATGCGCGTCCGAAACCCTTGCTTATGTAAAATGTGGTCAGTCAAGCTTAAGAATGACAACACTAGATGGCGACTCTCGCATAAAACGCCTGTCATTCCCTCTCAACAAAGACTTTACAGCAGAGTCGCCATCTACTATCACCGTTCGTAAGTTGCCTAACTTATAAGCAGGGCCGGGACGCGCTCAAGAACGAAACAAACCAAGAGGTATTAGAAACCAAGGAACACAACCAATCAATGCAAGGCTTTTAGTAAGGGTGGGGTCCGGCGTGTTAATAATTTACGGGACATTCACAGTTCTCGTGTTAGCACAAAAACAACCAATCACGGGAGGGCACATAAAAAACCGAAGAGAGGACTCGTCTAGTCTAGGTTAATTCAAGGATCTTTCCACTAGGATTCGCTATTCACCTGTTTCAGTGGTCCTTCTTTGACTGCCTGCGGGGAAACCTCATCAGTCGGCGACGGCAGTCCATCGGCATTTCCGTTCGTGAGGGCCGGACTGTCGGTGGGGGGTGGGATATCAGAAGCGGGACGCTCGGGGACAGAATCAGTCGCTATGGGTTCGGGAACTGAATCCACGGGGGGCAGAGACATTGGTTCCGCTAGATTCTCGGACACGGGTTCCGGCAGGGAGGGGAGAGATTCCGTCGAGATGTCGGGGAGGGAATCGGCGTTTACCACCGATTCGGAAACGGGCTCAGGAAGCGGTTCTTGTGTTGGCGAGACTGTTTGTTCGGGTTGCGGTTCGGGAGAGGGCGCGACCGCGTCCGGCACGGGTGCCGAAGTGGACTCTAGGATAGTTTCAACGGAGGAATCGGGTTTTTCCAGAACAATTTCTGAGGATTTTGCTTCTTCTACGGGAAGTGAAGCTTCCGAAGGTTGTTGTGGTGGTGCAGGGGTTTCTTGGGGTTCGGGAGTCTTATTTTCACTCGAAGGAACAGGTGTAGGAGGTTCGACTGGAAGCTCGGACTGTTTTGGTTGTTCAGTTACGTTTTCCTGGGGTTCTACTTTATACTCGACAGGTAATGGTTCGGATTTTATTTCTACAGCTGGTGGGATTGGGTTAGTTTCTGGTTCTTTGGTGGGTTCTTTTACAGTCTCGACAGGAGCAGCGCTAGCGGGGATTATCTCTGGTTCAACCGGAGGAACAACGGCGCCTTCTAAGGCCGAGGAATCTTTCGATGGACTTAAATCAGTTTCGTTGGACTCGGTTTTACTTGGTTCGGGAATCAAACTGTCCGACGAAACTGATTCCACCTTGCCTTCAACGACCGACGACGCCGTTTCCAATTCGGAAACGTCCTCCACCACGGGGGAGGACGTCGCCTGGGGAATAGACTCGACGTTCTGTTCTGCGGCGACTTGTTCGGGGATAGTCTCGACAACAGGAGCTGAGACGGGAGTCTCTACGGGGACCTGATCGGCTGGTAGGGCGTCGGCTTTAGTGGATTCAGCAAATACCGTCACCGGGGAGGGGGGGTTAGAGGAAGGTAAGGGAGGGGGAACCTCCTCGCTACGCACCTCTTTGGTCTCCTCGACAACGGGAGTTGGTTCAGTGGGTTTGGGTTCTTCGGCCTTGGGAGTGGGCTCTTCGACTGGCGGAACGTCCTCCTTTACGGGGGAAGGAGCGGATTCAACGGGTTTTTCTACTACGGGTTCAGGAACTTTGGGTTCTTCTACGGCGGGTACGGTAGGTTGTTCTGTTGGGGGTTTTGTCTCTTCCTCGGGCTTGACTGCCTCCGCAGCTGGTTCGACGGCCTCTTCCGGTTTGGACAGTTCCTCGACGGATGCCTCGCCGTTTGTTACTTTCTCGGGCTCCTGGGGAGCCTTCTGCTCCTCGGTTTTTTGCACTTCGGAGGTTGAGGAAGTTGCTTCGACATTCTGAAAAAAAAAAAAAAAATTAAATATAAATTATACGCTAACGATACGATTATTATGAACTTATTTAAATAAGGGTCTGTAAGTAACAACATAACTTAATACATTTTAAGGTGTACCACTTTAAATAAGTTTTAATAAAACGAGTACAGTCTTAAATTGTGCTAATTTTAAAAAAATTGATGAGTTTCGATATCTCTAGTATTGAAAAACAATACCTACACAACTAATAATGGGCCCCAAACACAAAGTTGATTTTCTCGAGAACAGCTTGTCTATTTTAATATATTTTTTTAATTATTGGTTTATTTCTCAACAGCGTCGTTAAAATCGAAATTCTAATAAAAATTTCAATTTTGGAAATATACCAGGTAGGTACAACAAATAGTCCAGGCGGTATCTGTTTCAGGTTGGGTAAAATGCATATGATCGGAGATTTTTGCTTTAACGGCTTCTAAGTAACATCAGAAATGATAATATTTCTATGCAAATAAAAAAAAAAGTGGGCTTAATTGTTATTGCAAATAAGTATAAAAAAATAGCAAAAAAATCATTTTTTTCTAGGATTTCTCGTCGACAACTTAGCTACTATTCATTTTAGACAAAAATGGAAGCGGAAAAAAGTTTTGTAATTAAATTTTGATCAAGATAAGAGTTAGTTGCAATTCGAAAAAATAATTATTGTTATTGCAAAAATCGGAAAAATCATTTAAAAAATTGCAAAAAATGCTAGTTTATTTGTAAATTTTTTTCAGACACTTGAATAATACCTAGGATCTTCATACTTTTCCCAATTAAACTTCTTAGTGCTTAGAATCATCACACCAAATTTCATCCAATTCGGTTCGATAGTTTTTACATAGTACTTAATTGTTTAAATTTTTTTTTAATTAAAAAATTTTCAAAATCAAATTTCCAAAAATCTAAAGCCTTTGAATACTTGAAATTTTCACCACAAAAAGAAGAGCTCTCAAGCTTTAAAATGCTTTTTGAAAAATTCCAATTGGACGATTAGGTGAGTCGTGGTGATTGTTTAAACATTTTCGCAATTTTCACGCTTATAAACAATTGCAATAATTTAATGTTTTTTCAATTTTTTTTATTTTAAAATATGGTTCGGAAAGACGAGTATTTAAAAAAAAACTGATGATCCGCCCATTATTTTCGGAGTTATAGCCCGTTAAAGTTAACCCTTATTTACAGCAAAACTATAAGGGTATAAAGGCTGTTTTTTGAACTAATAGGTTTGTCATTCCGAGTACTTTCATGATATAAATTTTCAAAATTTGCAATCACGGGCGTCCCATTTAAAATGTCACTCAAAGATATTCAAGACCGCGTTAAATCAATGAAAATCAGTGGTGGGGGGAGCAAACACGCAGCTACTCCGATCTGAATTCTCGAGTTCAAAACTGCGAAGCTCGGAAAAATTTCAATTATAAATAAATAAACATAATAAATTAATCATTTTTTAAAGTAACTGTTTATCGGCATGTCAAAAGTCCTTGAAAATATGATAATTGAATTTTTAAAGTTGCGAGACATCGATTAAAAAAAAATCATCGAAATTGGTCCATTAGAAGCTGAGATAATTGAAATTTTTCCGAACGTCGCAGTTTTGAACTCGAGAATTCAATTCGGAGTAGCTGTGTGTTTGCTCCTCCCACCACTGATATTTCAAAAAACGTGGGCTTAAACGTTTTTTTTTTATTTGCATAGAAAAATTATCATTTCTGATGTTATTTTGAAGCCGTTAAAGCAGAAATCTCCGATCATATGCGATTTACCCAAGTATACCCCTTTTAAAACAGATACCACCTGGACAAAGAGAAAGTTAATTTTTCTGAAAATTTGAAATAATCGATACCATTTAACCAATTACAATCACGAATGTCCACCCCAATCAAACTGAGGACGGATATTTTCTAAACAATTTGTTTTTTTATCATTATCTGTATTATTTCTCACATTAAAATTTAGTCGCACCAGTTTACTGTAAAACTTAAACAAAAATCAAGACATAACAGTAAAAAAACAACAATGACCACACAGCTTGAAAACTATTAACATTTATCTGATGACATTAAAAAATGCTCAGGGAAATAAAGAATAACACTGTTGGGTAAAATTAAGATCTGGTTTCAAAGCGTGATTTATCAATGTCATTATATATCATTATTAAAATTGTCGATTGATTTTCTTCTTTTTATTAGGTGCTGAATTTCTTTCTTCTTGTCACTGATTTTATTCTTATTACATTTGTCATTGGTGGGTTTTGATTTAACTGTGAATCTCATAATATTCGACATGTATCAAAAAAAATTTGTTCACATTTGAAACATAAAATTTCCGAAAAAATTGGGCGCCGAAAGTTTAATTTCTTACAAAAAAAATTGGAATCAGAAAAATTCAACTTATTATTGTCGTTTTTAGTGACTAAAAAAAAATATTTCGAAAGAAATATGCAGATTCCACATACACTTTATAAAGTGACAAATGATTCCAATATACCCAAGTTATTAAATGAAGAAAACAAATTTAATGAAGAACATCGCTTAATGGGAATACAAAATGGTACATACGACTATACAAATTGCCTGCTATGCACTTATGTTTCCCAATTGAACCAATTTTCTTTCATATGTCCACAATACCCGTTGACGCGACGGTTAAATCGACATGCTACGCCTCCACAAAGATGATTAATATTATTTAATTACAACCTGATTAGATTAAAATGGTTAAAAAGGAACAATTTATTAATTGTTTTCATGTGCGACGAATATCCCACGCACGTAATCATCGCAAGCATTCTGCTATTACAAATAATTCATATAAGTTATGCGAGTTTAACACACGATTTAATTTTACGAGTATTAATTGAGAATTAAAGCGGTATCAGACATTTCTGCATAATGTTCAGTTAAAAGCGCGTCAGATTATTTATACTGATTCACTTTAAAAAAAAATGTATCACTGTTTTTCATATTTAACATCAACAAATACCACAGGATGTTTTATAAAAAATAAGGAATGTGTATTGTTATTTGGGATGGCGGAATGTTTACGACTGCAAAGGAATTAAAAGCATGTTAATGGAGGACATCCTGGGTTATTTATAGATAAAAGAACAGCAATAGTCAAAACAATTGCAGCGCACATGAATTTCCGTATGATCGGAGCAAGCGTTTGTTCAACTTCTTCCTGGACTGTTAAATTCAAACTACGTAAAACGTAAAACAATATCATTCCATGTCATATAAAAGAAATGTACTTGGTTAAACGGTGAGATTAATACGAATGCAAATTCAAAATGGTTAAGAAAATTTTTTTGGAAAGCTGATATGTCCCGTTTGGCTGATGTACGCTGTACTACTTTCTCCTTTAGCCTTATTCGTATTATAATTTCCGTTCTGTAGAGAAAGAACAATGATGCACTGAAGAAGGCTGCAGTCGAGAGAACCCTTACGTCTTTAACGCTAGCACTGAGGATGCACCGAATCTTTTATCGCATTCATTAGAGAAAGCTTCGAATGTGTAAAAATGTACAGGGATGTTCTATTTCAAAAACCGCTATGCCGAGGTCATAACCTCTCCCACAAGGTGATACGATTTTAAAACTTGCTTTGACCTTCGCGTTTTAAAAATTGACGATCGGACTCGCCTGCTTAAGAAACTCAAGTCTAATAAAATAGCCATAATAACCATGTTGCATCTGAACACGAGTTAATAAAATGCAGTTCATAAAGAACAACTAGTTTATTGTTTCAAGTTAAAAAAATGCGTTTTGTTATTTTTTGTGCTTAAATTAATCTATACATAAAAATATTTAAATTAAATTATTGGTATTTCGACTTTTCACGCTATTTCACGAAAGATTTCTTTCAGGAACAAGATATAACGTATTTTCGACCATTTCCTCTGTTCCTTTATTAATTTAATAAATGCCATTTTGCAATTTGTGTCTTATAAAAGAAAAATCTTGAACCATTTTCAATCTCAACCACTTCGAATTTAGCTCGCGGACTTAATAAACAATTATTACTCTAAAATTGCTAATAAATAACAAGGTATGCCGATTGTACTAAACGGATTTTAATACAAAGTTGATTATGCACTATTATTACGCCCTGTTTCTACCGAGAAAATCTTTGGAGCGAAACTTTCATCTATAGGTAATTAGATTTTAATTTTATAAACCAAACAGTACCGGTTAATTGAGATGTTAGATTTTCTTAGACCAAATCGAAATATCTAAATAAAAATATTACAGTTTTTATGAAGAGAAATTTTGGATTGCGATAATGTCTACAGACAAGAAGAAACACAAAAAGTGAAATATTTCTGAATTGCTAGAAAATTTGATTTGATTTGAATGTTTTTTTTAATATATAGCCTTCTTGATGTATTTGCTGCACCAATTATTATTTACGGAAAAATCTGACCACTTTCAACTCAAGTACCCACCTCAAACTTCAAACTATGAGATTATCGTAACTTTTATCAGAAGCGTCAAGTGTCAAAAATGCCACATTTAGTTATTTTCGAAAATTTAAGCACACCTAGTGTCTAATATATTTTATTAAAAAGATTATAGAACATAATTTTAAAATTCTGCATTATAAATCGATGAAATCCGAGTGTGATTTATCAAAAAACTGCTGAAAAAATTACAGCAGGCCATGGATTATCGTAACTGGTTTAATAAGTACATCTAGAAGGCTACTATAAGTAGTTTAGCAGTATTAGAGAGGTATTCTAATTTTCAATGTGCCACACTGTATATGCAATCATTCGATCATAAAATCGCTGAGTAATGTCTTAATTTTCTCCAACTTGCAACTGTTTTCTTTCATCAAATAAAAAAAATATTATTAGAATTAGGTACTATTGAGAAACTCGTGAAAAAATTTCAGTGAATTTTATCAAAATTGAGTGTAAAAAAATAGAGAAGTATTGTGTATGATTTTAACACATTCACACAGAAATAAAACCCATAAAAA